AATCTACCTCAAGAGACAGCAAAACCATTCTTGGGCATATACCCAAAGGATGCACACTCATACCACAAGGACATTTGCTCAACTATATTCATAGCAGGATTATTCATAATAGCCAGAACCTGGATACAATATCTAGATGCCCCCAAAGAATGGATAAAGAAAATGTGGTACATTTATACAATGGAGTATACTCAGCAGTAAAAAACAATGACCTCAAGAAATTTTCAGGCAAATGGATGGAGCTAGGAATAAAAAAGATCCTGAGCGAGGTAACCCAGAAAGACAAACATGGTGTGTACTTACTCATAAGTGGATATCAGATGTAAAGCAAAGGATAACCAGCCTACAGTCTATAACCCCAGAAGAGCTAGGTAACAAAGAGGGCCTTAAGAAAGACATACATGGATCTGTCTAGGAAGGAGAAAAAAGACAAGATCTCCTGAGTAAATTGGGAGGGGGGAAAGGGGAGGATGGAAGAGGAGAGGGGAGGAGGGAAAGGGGAAAACATATAAAAAAGGAACCCTACTCACCTGCTCCACCTACCCAAAAAAACAAAACAAAAAAAAAACAAAAAACAAAACATGGATGTAAAAAGCAATATTCAGAGAGAAAATAGTTCTCAAAAGTTAAAATTATAGTAGCAAAACTTTCAAGAAGGAGTTATTAAACAAAGTTGAAAAACTCTCCCCCAGCATAAATCAAAATGGCAGAAACAGTGTTGAAGACTAAATTAACAGAGTTCAAAGAGCCCAATGATCAAACAGGAATCTCCAGAAAAGCTAAAATCATAGAAGACTTTATAATCCCTCATGAAAAAAGTCTCCAAGTCAAATATCATGGTTTTGAGATTTCCTTATTTATTTTTATATATGTGAGAATTTTACCCTAAGGTCCCTATGTGTTACACCATGTGTGGGTCCAGTTCCTCTTGAAGGTCAGAAGAGGATATTAGATTCCTTAAAACTGGAGTTATGGATGGTTATAAACCACCACATGGGTGGTGGGAATCAAACCTGGGTCTCTGGAAGAGTAGCCAGGGCTTTTAATTCTGACTCATCTTTTCAGACCCAGGGTATTTTTAGAGAAAAACCAAACCAAAACAGAGGTAGGTGTGTGTGTGTGTGTGTGTGTGTGTGTGTGTGTGTGTGAGTGACTTAGGGTTGAGTGTCTGTTTAGTGTGTGGGTTCTATTCCTAGAACCTGAGTAGTTAGGAGTCGGAAATGTATAGAACTTTTCAATAAAATATAGAAAATATCACCAATTACTTCAAAATATTACTTTCAAGACAGAAATTTATATCCAGCCAAACAGTTCATAATGTTTAATGGAAGTCTTCTTTTAAGATACACAAGTAGTCAGGCCTGCCAGCAGGGGGCGGTGGAGAAACCTTGCTTCAAAACAACCAATCAACCAACAGAAGACACACAAGATCCATACATAACATTTTCATTCTGTTCTTCAAGGGCATCTCTCACAGTCAGAGGAAACAACACACACAGATTACAGCTATGTGGCTGCATAGAGACTCCGTCTCAAAAACAGGAATGCTGATGTGGCAGGAGGTGAACATCTGTAATTCCAGCATGGATAGCTGAACTCCAGCCAAAATTCCAGTAATTACCTGACCTGTATAAGCCCCTACTTTAACTGGAGGGCATCCAATAGACCCAGGAATCTGATTGGTTCCTTTCCTCCAATGCAGTTACCCTTGTAAAAGGCCACTGGGTAATGGCGGGAGAAAGGAGAACAGTAAGACTCTTAGGACCTAAGTGTTCTAGCCAGGCAGTTGTGACATACACCTTTAGTCCCAGCACATGGGAGGCAGAGGCAGGCAGATCTCTGAGTTTGAGGTCAGCCTGGTCTACAGAGCTATACAGAGAAACTCTGTCTTGAAAAAGAAATCTTAAAAAAAAAAAAAGTTCTCAACCTTCCTAATGCTTTTACCCTTTAATACAGTTCATGTTGTGGTGACCCCCAACCATAAAATTATTACAATGCTACTTTGTGACTGTAATTTTGTACTGTCATGAATGGTAATGTAACTATCTGATATGCAAGATATTCAATATGCAACCCCCAAAGGATCGTGACCCACAAGTTGAGAACCACTGTCTTAGGTTCCTCCATCCCCACCCACGGGACCTGGCCAACCTTTCATCTGATCTGCAAAGTGGCTTGTCTGGAAGTTGGTTCACAGGCTGAGATTCCCTCTTGTCACAATTCAGTGACAAGACATCTGTTTGAGAATTTATTTGCTTATACACATCTAATAAAAAATTCAGTAGGCTTACTTACCATGACCAATTAGCCAGTACCAAATGTCCATAGGAGTCATGTCACCATGAAAAACACTTTTCCTGTGCTGACCACTAACCGGTCAGGCCATTATGCATATTGGCCTATGGTGCCCATTACGAAAGCTATAATCATCTTGCATTTGGGGGTTCAGGGCTGCCACCTGGCCCCTGCTTCTTCAGGGCCCAATTAAATCCATTGCATTTAATTTATCCACCTGAGCAGCAGTATCTCCAGCCCTAAGGTCTGGCACCAGGGGAAGGGCTACAACAAAGTTCTTCAAATGTTCTGGTACCCTCTAACCCCTCTAACCATTTAAAATCTTTTAAGACATTAAAAAAAAAAAAAAAAAAAAATTTACTAATTATAGTGTTATAGTGTTCTGCCTGCAGGCCAGAAGAGGGCACCAGATCTCATTACAGATGGTTGTGTACCATCATGTGGCTATAGGGGAATTGAACTCAGGACCTTTGAAAGAACAGCCAGTGTTCTTAACCGCTGAGCCATCTCTCCTTAACACCATTTTTAGCTATGCAAATTTCCATATTAAACCAGAATCTCCACTTAGTGAACCAGTATCAATAAACTCAGTCTGACCCTGTTTTATGTTCCTTCCCCATTGTCCTTAAAATCCATTCCTACATGTTTTCTCCAAACTTTTGCTTAGTGGTGTAGCACACCTACTCATGGACTACACTTTCTGCCCCCTCTGGGAGCCTGCTTAGCCTTAAGTCTGGTTATAAGTCTAGAGACAACTGTTGGTGGGCCCTCAATGACATCAGTATTGTCTTTTCTGTCATCTCCTTCAAGGAAAGCCGCCACTGGTTAGGATTAATTTCCTCAGGCAAAGGCTGGGAGGGCAATACTTCAGGGGTTGTGCATGAGGGGAGACTTCTTCCTGAGCTAAGATAAAGCCTTGAAAATCTGGGAATTCCAAGTCTCCAGCCTCAGTAGGATCTTCCACAGGTCTGTATCCTATGACAGCATCCCCCGTTCCTTACGAATCAGTACATTACTTTAACTCCTGACCACCCCCCCCCCCCCAAGGCTGTGGCTTGAATTTTCGTTTTTAATTCAGCCAATCTTACTGAGGGGTTTGGGTTTGATTTTTCAGAAATGAGCTATTGTGGCTTCTGGAGAAAAGATTCTCTTTCAGAACACATTTAGAAGCCTTTATTTAGACTGTGTATGTGTATTTGGAACCTGGTCAATTTTATCAGAGTTCATTGTCTTTCCTCACTGTATCCTGAGAAGCTAGAAGCTGGTTAATTTTATCATGGGGCTCATGCTTGTCCTTGATCATTTTATCTAGAGATGCTAGAAGCAATCGGCCAGCATTGTTACTGTCACAGAAATAGTCAAAAGTGCTATGTATGCAGCCACCAAACTCCTTGCTTCTCACAATAAGTGAATCAGGATAATCAAATGTCTCGGTAAGTTTGCTTCAGTAACTATAGGTATCAGTCTACTGGAAACTTGCCAGGAAGCTTATCAGACTGGCAGAAACAAGAAAGCCCGGCTTCAACAAGGTAGAAGAGAACTTCCAAACACTGTCCCCTGACATTCACACGGACAAGTGCATGTGCATTCTTTCTCCATCACTAATGGAATCAGACAGCAAAGTAACTGAACAGTGTGGCTAATCTCTATTGTCAACTTGACAGGATTCAGAATCACCTCTGGGCATTACCCATGAAGCAATTTCCTGAGATTACCTGGAGGGAAGACCCATCATGAATGCGGGTAGCATTATCCTATGGACGTTGTCCCAAATGGATTTATAAAAAGGATGCAAGATAAAGCCAGCTGTTACTACAATTCCTTCTCTGGAGGAAGTGTCCCTCCTAGGGTCCAGACCACAAACTATGGTATCATTTCACCAAAATTCACTTGGAGAACCAGAGTTTATTTGATTTAGTTACAGAGCATAAGTGAAGTTACTGGAGTGGGATGATGGCTGACAAATGCCACACCCAGAGTCTTCACCAGCAGAGATGAAAGCCCCTCTTCCCCAGTGTCCTCCACTTACTTAGCTTCTTCCCAGAGCCACCTGTGGTTAAGGCACAGTTGCATGGAGCTACTGGATTGTTTCATTGTAATGAAACATCCCACCCACTTGAGAGGGTGTCCAGCTGGAGTGCTCTTTTCCAGGTGAGTAAGGCATGCTACAAGACATGGCTGTCCTGAAGGATATTCCCATAGGCCAACAGCTAAGCACTAGCATTCACCTCTATTAAGTTTTTCTCAAGAGGTTTTCTATGTGTAGTCCTAGATGTACTGGAAATCAACTCTGTAGACCAGGCTGTCCTCTAACCTGGAGTACCTGTCTCTGCCTCCTAGTGCTGGGATTAAAAACATCTGCCACCATTGACTGGCTCAATGGGTTACCTCACACTCCTACCACTAATGCCTGTCGGAACCTGGGTTCTCTGCAAGAGCAGTATGTGCTCTGAGCTTTCAACTTTTAGACCAATTTTTGTTGCTTTGAAATCTACCTAAATACACTAAAGACAAGGAGCTACATCAGAATGTCTAGAGCAATAGTATAACTAAATTGTCTTTTGGTGATAACTACCACTCTGGAGTGAGGCTGACAGTTGGGGAGGGATATGGCAGACTTAGGGCCTATGGGAACTCTATGCCCAGTTTTGCTATGAAACAAAGAATCTGACAACTCAGTATATCCAAGCATTTTTTATTCGGTCAGGTAAGGAATCTTCACATTGTTACATACCGGTTGTATACATTTATAAGGGCATGTCTACAAATATAGCTGAGCGTACGTTGGCAAGTCCAAACTCCAAAGGACATTCAAAAGCTAACACAGTAAAGGTCATGCGAATCCTAAAGCAGTACATCATGACAAAAGCTTACTCTTTTCTTATCAATATCTACCACAATAACCTGATGTATAATAGGTTGTCTATCATTCAGATACACCTTTTACCTAAGAACATGAAACCTCTTATCAACTTACTGCTTTGATTAGAAACAACCCTTACCATAGTAGAGGCTATTTTTATTCAAGAGATTTATGGCAAAACGCATGCCCTTTACTCATGTACCTTGAGTACATGAGTACTCAAGGTTATGTATGATGAAAGAGATTTGAATAGGAAACAATTCAGTGAGGCTATAAAGTAACCTGGTCGATGTAACTTGGGTGAGTGAACAGCCCCATGACAAAACTGATCAGATGCAGGTGGCTAACTAGTCTTTATAGCCACCATAGTGATAGTAATGGGCAGGTGCACCAAGAGCCTTTTGCAAGCTTTGTTTCTCAACACCCTTAATTCTCTACTATCTTCCAAAATTCCCTTACTTTAAGCCAAAAATGGATTCAAATTTGCTTGAACTACACTTAGGAAATAACATGTAAATAAAGAGAGACAGTTGAAATTGATTTATCACCAGCAAACATTACAAATGTATGCTTCTATTCCATAAACAGAAAACCTCAAGAAACCAGAGATAACAAAATACCCACATTAAGTAGGAAAAAAATCTTGGAAGTAATGATTTTTCTGTACAGCAGTTGAATTTATCCACCAAATGCTTAATGACCACAGATGCTTCTGCAACTAAAACTAAGGAGTCACAAGAAGTTGGGAATTCATGTTAGATACTAACGATCTTCAAGCTTTGAAGATGTCATTGCATGAAGAAAATTATGGGAAACACTGTTCCCGATAATTACGTACACCCTTAGTGTAACATATGGAGATCACTGTCTCCGATATAGACACTGTGGTAGGCAAAAACTACCTTGTTCTTTATACATTATGGAAGACACTGCTCCCGATAATGTGAGTTAAGTTTGTGACAAAGGTACTGGAAATTTTGCAAAATTGAATGAGTTACATCTTGAGTATATTGAGCTGTAAAATTTTGCAAGTACTACCACAGCCTTTAAGTGGCCACAACTCACTGCACCTAGGAGAGCTATCCTTTTTTCCTGGACAGTTGAAAGTGTAAGTGGATCAGGAATCCCTTGTTACTTTCAATTCTCTTCTACTTCTTGTCTTAACCTAACTGGTTTGTGACTTTCTCCTAAAGCCTGCAAGTGCTGACCGTAAGTGCAAAACTTCCAGTATCTGTTGGGTCTTATTAGCAGATGCTGCTTTATTAAAAGAAAACGACAGTATAACTGTCATAATTATGGAAGGCACTGCTTCCGATAATTATCTTCTATAAAAAAAAAAACCACTATTTATAGTGAACTCTGTCACTGATAAATAACAATAAATATCTCAGTGCCAAAATGATAGAGAGCTTTCCCCAAAGACTTTGGCCAAAGTTTGGCAGTGTGTTCTTTAAAGTCTGACAAACTGAGTCTAAAACTTGCTCTTTTTTCAGAAAATGTCGGGGAAAATAAAACAAAGAACTATAGACTATAGGGCAGATGCCAGCAGAGAGAAAACACGGATGTTGTCTTTGGCTCCTGGTCTCCTCATAGATAATATAAGGTTAACCAGAAAGGCCTATTCCTGCAGTAAGCAGACAAATTTCCTTTCATCAGAAGGACCTATGTCAACCTTGCTGGCAGAAACAAGTACTATCTCTTGTGAAAGTGACTGTCTAGTTTAGGAAATGGAAACCAGCTAATCCTAAGGGCACAAGCTCATCTGGAGACTCCTAATGAGGATCAGATGAGGGTGGGGGACAAATACATCCAGCTACCACAGTGATCCTCAGCACCCATTGTCCTCCCACCAGCTAATGCCCTCAAGCAACGTTCTTAACTGGTTCCCACATTTCCATGACCACGCTGCAAGAGGAAGTTATTACAAAGGACTCAAAATTCTAAAGATAATCTGAGGTGATATCATGAACACGGAAAGTGTTATCCACTGTAACTTCAAGTGCAGGCCCAACCCTGCACTAAAAGCTGCTGTCTAAGGACATTTAGTATCTGGATGATCAAAGAGAATTGTAACATCAGATTTGAGCTCTAATGAAAATTTAGCATAACCAGCGCAAGTCTAGAAACAGACTGCCCTGCTCTTATTTAATTATGTTTCATTTAAAACTCATTGTCAATATCCCAAATGTCACCAGAGAGGGCATTCGCAACTCCCTGAATAGTCCAAGTAGCTAAGGCTAACTGGTTTCTGAACAGTGTTTCATTAAAAGCACTACTGTTTTTCTGACGAAGCATCAAGTTATCCACTAAAGCTGAGAGAGTGTGAGAGCCAGAACCCCAGAAGATGTGTCGGAAAGGAGACTCTCTTGGAGACACGTAGGGTGACAGGAAGTGATATTCCACCTACAAAAAAGATAAAAGGCAATTTGCACAGTGCTCTAACTTCTGACTCATTTTCTTTTCAAATGTTAAACCTGCTGAGACTACTGGGAACAAGGTTTCTCTGTAATGGTTTGGAATCTGTACTGGAACTCTCTGTAGAGTAGGCTTGCTTCCAATTTACAGAGATCCTCTTGTCTCTGCCTACTACCACCCAGCAAGTATGGAGATATTCTAATTAAAAAATTTAAAATATCAAGTCAGATTGCACCAACTGCTTGCCTTGAGTGGCATAGGCAGGTGATTTTTTTTTTCTTCTTTTCCTAGAATATTTTTTTCCCGTTTTAAAAAAAATTTAAATTCGAAACAAGCTGGTTTCCCAGTCGTCCCCCCACCCCCAACCTCCTATCCCATCCCCTTTCTGCTCCCCAGGGAGCAGAAGGCCTTCCATGGGGAAATCTTCAATGTCTGTAACAGCATTTGGAGCATGGCCTAGGTAGGCCCTCCCCCATGTGTCTAGGCTGAGAGAATATCCCTCTATGGGGAATGGACACAATTTTCAGGTGGATTTCTTTTGAGTTCAGGTCTGTGTGGTCTACAGAGGGAGTTCCAGGGCAGCTAGGGTGACAGTGAGACTCAGTGTGCCTGAGTATACATGCCACATAATGGAGTCAATTCTCTGTCAGCTTTACAAAGTTATCCAAGATCTAAATTATGTAACTAAGCTTGCACAGTAATCTTTTACCTGCTGGGTCTCTTGAGTTTTGGTGTGGTAGGTTTTGTTTGAGACAATGTCTCACTTTTTAGTTATAGATGATCTGAATTTGCTATGTATGCTTCCAACTCAGATCTACTAGCCTCAGTGTTAAGATTAAAACTTACACACCACTATTCCCAGCTTAATTCCTTATAACACATACAGTTTCTCTCAAATTGAGTAAAGTTTCACTCATGGCCAATTTCTTCTGCAAAATTAATAGGACTGGACTAGAGAGATGGCTCAGTGGTTAGAAGTTAAGAGCACTTGCTGCTCTTCAGGTATGGATCCCAGAACCCACATGGTAGCTTCAAACTGCTATGACTCCAGATCCACAGTTATCAGCAACCTCTTCTAACCTTTTCCAATACCAGGAACATACAGGTGTACATATGTATATGTAAACAAAACATTCATACATATGAAACTAAGTTACTGAGCTTTCTTTGCTGTTTCTAAATGTTTTTAATTAATGTCTCTTGTATTTCCAGGTTACATATTACTTTGAGATCATGATATTGAATCCAGGTCCTTTGGAAGAACACCCAGGGCTCTTAACCACTGAGTCATCTCTCCAGCCCCTGTGTTCAATTCTAAATAAAGGATGTTAGGCCCCCAGTACTTGACACTTTCCAGCACTCAGGAGGTAGAGGCAGGCAGATCTGAGTTCAAGGCCAGCTTGGTCTACAGATTAAGTTCCAGGACAGGATCCAAGAGCTACAGAGAAACCCTGTCTCAAAAAATCACAACCACAAAACAACAACAAAATCTACTTTCCTAACATACTTACCTTCATAATACGGTCATTAATTTCCCTCATGACAAATCTGTTTGTTTTCTCAGCATTATGGATATCAGTCGTTAGTCTAGATGTAGCACGGAAAAAGTCTCCACGAGCAGAATACAGCCACTGTAGACTCAGACCCATTGCCTGTCAAAGACAGGTTAAATTGTTCATTAGATGTTATACTTCTTTAAGGACATATACTCTATAGCCCAGGGTTAGCCAGCACTCACTACAATTGCTCAGGCTGGCCTAGAACTCCAAGTAATCTTCCTACCTCAGCTTCCTGAGTACTGGAATTAGATATAAGCCATATAACCCACTGTAGAAATTATATTTCTAAAGATGTTACTATCTATAGATAGTAACTATCTAATCTATCTTCCCAATTTAGATTGGGACTCATATGTAAATTCAAGACCCAAAAAGCCATACTTCAGCACCTTGTATCAGAGGCCCTATAAACTATGGTAATAAATTCATCTTTGAGCCAGACTAGATAATTCAATCATCTATTCTTAGACTCATGTAGAAAGTAACATGAAATTCAGCATAATTAAGAAAAAAGCATACATGGTTTCCATTTTAATTTCCCTATCAGGGAAACTTCCAACATCTTGATATGTACTTGAAAATCTTTTTCTATTTGATAAGTTCCATTTTCTGAAGAGTTTACTTCAAGAAACCCATTATAATTAAGATACAGTCACTGTTTTGCAGGGGTTTAGAGGCCAGCCTGGTCTAGAGAGTTCCAGGGCAGCCAAAGGCTACACAAAGAGATCAACCATTTAGAAAACCAAAAGGAAGTTTATCTTGTCAAGTGTTATAATGGAACCAACCTACTGTTACAGAATAATCTTTTTGTATATTGTGAAGATGTGTCACTATGATTGTTTTACTAAAAAAAAAAAATCGAATGGCCAAAATAGCTAGGCATAGAAAAGCAAGCCAGAATCTAGGCATGCAGAGACAACAGTGATGTAAGTACCACGTCAGACATATGGTCTGAGATTAAAAAGCCACATGGCAGAATATAGATTAACAGAAACAAGTTATAAGATCTAGTTGGGGACAAGCCTAAGCTGAATCTCAAGCTTTTATTAATTAATAACAAGTCTCCATGTCACTTTGAGGGCTACTACTACAATATATGTTAGAGGAAAAAAAGCTAAAAGCTGCTGGAACTGGTGGTAAACAGATGTAATTCCAAGATCTGAAAGTTAAGGCCAGCCTGGGCTGCATCAAGATTCTGCCTCAGAAAACTGTGTGCACACATAGTCAAATCTCATGGATGAGTAGAATGACAGTTACCAGAAGCTGGGGCAGTAGCAAGGAGGGGAGGGTAAGGGCATTAAAATCTAGGCCAGTTAAAAATTGAGTTGCTTACCCTGATATCTGCTCTGTACTGGTTCAGATCCTTCACAAATGACAGTATCTTGTTGTTATACATATCATAGTCCAGGTTCAGTTCAATTTCATGGGTAAGTTTAATTATGAACTGACCAGCCACCTCTGCTGCTGCACGAACCATTTTGTTCAGCTGAGGAACTTGCTGAATCAGTTTCTCATAGGTATCCAAATTAGTGCCCAAATAAGGATATTCCTTATCCTAGAAGACAAAGAAGGGTTATTTATTGTACTGGTGAGGGCTAAGAGCCTCACCATCAATGTAAGAGAGCAAGCATGTAAGAAAGCACAGGGACCCATGTTCTAGTCTAGAGCTCACATGGTAAAAAGAACTCACCAGTTGTCCTCTGACCCCCATACACACCAGGCCAAACAGATACCCGTAAACAGAGTAATTGTGTATTTCTTAAATAGGTAAAATAAATCCCAGCCATGTCAATCTCCAAATCCAGGTGTTTCGTTATTCCCTAGATTTTCCAAATTGATTCAAGCTTACTTGGGCCCTGGCCTCTCTCCACTGGATCAATACTGGTAGTTAATAATTCTATCTGCTCTGCTGGACTTTCAGTGCCTCTCACTGGCTAACACTGTGATCAGTTCACATTGTCTCAGTTACCCTATACTTATTTGGTTGCTGCTTAAGAGAATATTTCTCAGCATCTGGAATACTTTCAATGGGCATCTAATAATTACAAGTTGAATAACATCTTAATGTCTTTTTTTAAAAACATCTTAGTATCTTAAATACTGAGACATTTGGTTTAATTATTACAAGATCTAATGAAAATGCTTCAGAGTTCTTCAGTCTTACCTCACAAAACCAGAAAGAAACTGCTGGGATTCCAGAATATGCAAGAAAAGGGAAAGCAGCATTGTCAAGGGAAAGTTTCTCACTGCAAGGAGAACAAAGGCAATCCTTAGCAAGTATTCTGAAATGGAGGCCTAGCAGGCAACACCCCTTCCTTTTTAACCAATTCCCTGTGGGTGGAGCTCTGTCTACTTTTCTCAACTTACACTTTGTTGATCCAATTGCTGTCTCGATATAGAGGTCTTCCATCAATTGGGTGTTTTACCTACAAAATGAAAATTAAAAAATTTTCTGTTCTTAATTCAGCCTAGTCACCAACATTCTTTTCTCTACAAATACTTAAAAATCTCAATTACCCTACCTGACTATCCTATCTGTCCCTTATGAAGGGTGTGGCTGCCTGCCTTTCTGCTCTCTTCCCTGTGATAGTTCTTAACTACAATTTATAGGGGAATGGACATACTTCTAAACCCCCTCTCAGCTACATTATCATGCCCACCTTCTTTCAATGATTTATTTATTGTGTGTATAGTGTTCTGCCTGTATGTATCCCTGCAGGTCACAAGAGGGCACCAGTTTTCATTACAACTGGTTGTGAGTCATTTTGTGGTTGCTGGAAATGGAACTCAGGACCTCTGGAAGACCATCTCTCTGCCCCCTGTTCACTTTTCTGTAGCGCATGTTATACTAGACTAACCAGTAAACTACTATCTTGTTTGAGACCCTAGAGTGACCGGAGAGTCCCACTGAAATAAGGCCATTATTTATTTCCTTGCGTCTTTAATCATTCCAACATTCTCTTCAATGCAATTGAAGAGATTCTCTGCAAGTATTCTCTTCAACATATTCTTTCCTCATTTAAAATTGTGGTCACAACTGGCTTTTCCAGTTGGTATTTTCTCTGGTGTTATTCAAGTTCTAAACCTTCCTTAGCATTCTGACTTATAATTGCCTAAGAGGCTTGACGGCAATATTCTAAAGATGATATATTCTGAGAATCTTTCATATATATGCTCCATCTCTCAGTTCAGTTCAGCAGACTGAGGATCAATAAGACACGACTAATACCGCTATAGAATTTACTTGCAATTCCTATCACTGGTTACTGATATGTTATTGGTTCAGGTTTTAGAACTAGGTATACTCACGTCCTGCATTGTCTTCTCAATAAGTGTATATAATAAAGGGCTGGCAGAAACCTTGAAGTTGCTAGTACCTGTAAAGAAAGTATTCTTATTATTTTTCCTGGACAATGGCAGGACCCTACTTCTGTGGCCCTATACAGTAACTATTATTAATAAAGTGGACATTTAAGTTAGGAAGTCAGCTGAGTGTAGTAGTACATATAACAATCTCAGCACTCAGGAGCCTGGCCTACATAGAGAAACTGCCTCAAAAACAAAACAAAGGATTTAAGATTTTTCTATTTAGCATTACTGGGATTTGAACCCAGTGCCTTATGCTCTACTACTAAATCATGTCAGGATAGTCTCTTTCAGTATGTAATCTTGTAATCAGTCATCTGCCAGCCCCTGACTCCTGAGTGCTGGGTTACAGATGTGTGCCACCATGCCTGACTTTACCTAGTTCACACTACTGGTTCTACACCTAAACACTTTTATTGGATCTCCATTCCAATGTCTTACTCAGTATGGCCTAAGAGATGGCTCAGTAGATAAAGGTATTTGTGGCCAAACCTGAAAACTCCCAAGGACTCACATGGTGAAAATGAGAGAACCAACTCTCAATTGTCTTCACAAAGCAGGTGGATCTTTGATTTTGAGGCCAGCCTGGTCTACAGACTGGTTCCTGGACAGTAGGGCTACAGAGAAACCCTGTCTCAAAAACAAACACTAGGAAGGGATGCTTACCTAGGACAACTTTATCCAGATTAATATAAGTGAAAGCCTTTAAATGTAGAGATGATAGGTATCCCTAGGAGAGAGAGACTATATTAATATACTCAAACCTATTAATGCATACATTAATAAACATTAGCCTATCACATGGAAAGCTATTGTTAAGGAACTATTTTTAAATCTGGATTCCATTGAGACTTACTATACTAGGACCTGAAATAGGTTCTGGAGGATAGCGCTTAGGTTCACTCTGCACATAGAATATATAATACCTCTAGCCATTCAGTGGCACCAACAGCTCCAAAGTCTCCTGCACTCCAGCTGGCAAAAATAATGCTTCTGCTGGGTTTAAACCCATCTGGAAGAGACAAGAAATTAGGTTCACCTTGGGAGTGGTTAACAAGATAAATTAAAGATTCAAAGACCCAGTAAGAACAGAATCTTAAAAGTAATCTTTGTAGGACAGCACCTGTATATCAACATTTTGAGCACATGGCAGGCACACATTATTGGTGGTTACTCCCTTAACCTCGGACAGTTATGAGTTGCAATGTTGAGGACAATCTGCTTAGAAACAAGTCACTTAAAATATGGATTGTTTACCTTATTTTGAGATACTCTACCATATCCAGGCTCACTTTAAATTCACAAGCAACCCCCCTGCTTTATGCTCCAAGTAGCTGGGACTACAATACCACCACATCAGACTATACCTGTAAGTTTTAGGAAGTCTCCACAGGGCATACTTTGTGACCACTCCTTTAGGCAGTACATGTTCCACAACCCACCAACTGCCCTGTTTATAGTTTTCTACATTAACATTCTGTCTAAAAGTGCCACTTTAGACCTCAATTACATTGAAATTAGAATTAGAATTACAATTACACTGTATTACACTGTAAGTAGAATTAAGCTGTTAATCTTAGTAAATGTTAGATTTATTTTTCTGTACAAGTTGGACTAGTTTCAAAGGATTAGATGATTGCTAGTTGAATGAAGATACTCCACGGAGAAACATTTTCAAGTCATGAGTCAATGAAAACAAGATGTTTTAAAGAACCTACCATAAGAGGATATAAAATGTTTATGGCCATACCACCCTGAATGTGTCTGGATATAAGATTACAAGTTAAATTCAGCAATGCAGAATGTAACTGCTAGCATGACATGGAGCTCACAATGTCAGAAATTTTCTGCGTTACCTCTTGAAACCATGTTTGAGAATGCTTGGGCAAGTTTCAACAGAAGACCTGTTCCCACACTCGATTTTGCAGCACCACTACCCCAGGCATCTCTCTGGGCACCAACTACAATGTACCGGTCTAAAAAACAGAAAAGAGGCAACACACAATCATATTGTTTTTATTCTGAGACAAGGCCTCACCAGTAGCACAGACTGGCATCCAATTTAGGATTCTCCCACCTCAGCTTCCTAGCACTTCAGCTTTGTGTTTAATTTTAAACTGGCTCTATTAATGAAATCTAAAATAAGCATGCCAGGTACAATGGATAAAAGCCTAATTTCAGATGATTTAGGATTCCAGGGATTAAAATTCACAGGACAGCTGGGCTGTGGTGGTACATGCCTTGAATCCCAGCAGTTGGGAGGCAGAGGCAAGCAGATCTGTGAGTTCCAGGCCAGCCTGGTCTACAGAGAAGGGTCCCAGGACAGCCTCCAAAGCTACAGAGAAACCCTGTCTCAAAAACCAAAGTCACAGGATAATTACTACCTCCTCAGCCATTTATGCTATTTTGCCCACATCAGCCATTTAGTAATAACTGAAGTCCAAGGACTTCCAACTTGTGTTTAATGTTGTCTATTCCAGGGACTATACCCTATTCACTAATCTATTACATACTAGCTTTTATGCTTCATGGGCAGAACTGGACAGTTGATAGTTGATACATGATCCCTTTAAGAAAACCACTCTTAGAAAAAAAGCTTACTTATGAAGCAGAGTAGCTCCTATCCATAATGGTTAGTTTCAACAAGCTAACATCATAAGGCCTTGTTATCTTCCAATATTTTAAGTCTAATTTTAGCTTTAGTGGGACAGATGCCAAGCCTGAGTTCAATTCCCAAGACCCATATTGACACAATTCCTCCATGTGCTGTGGCTCTCATGTATACATGCATAAACACACACACAAAGTAACAAAAATTTTTAAATGGTTAGAGGACGATACCTGTTGCTGAACTCCGACCTGCACTGTCATATATGTATTATGTATGCACACAAATACATACACACACAATGCCCTTTAGGGAAAACATGATGTATCCTATCTCTCTCCCTTCCTTTCCTAGACACACCTAGAGTAAGCAAAACACAAAGAAAAGTACAAGGCAGGGTCTGTACCTGGTTCCTCAAAACCTTTGATAACTCCAAAGATGTTAAGTATTCTTGTTTCTTTCAGTACATTGTTCACAGAGAGTTCTACATTTTTATCCTGTACAGATCTAAGCCTACAGGAAGAATCTGTTTTCCAATCAGGAGGACAGTTTCCTTCCATGGCTCTAGAAATGGAAAAAAGGTATTAGCATCATGTGCTAGTATTTTTCTCTGGTTTACAAGTCTGCAATCTGTCCAGAAAGGTTCTACAATAAAGACACACCTAGTTAGTTTGCATTTAAAATACTTGCAAAGATGGATCCATAACGAAGGCCTCATAGGAATCTGTTAGTGTATTTTCATGTTACCCAACCCTTCCACTAACAAAGATACTTTGTATTCTTACATACTCATGAATTGATTTTAAGGATCTTCATCTAGCCACCTCATGTCATCCAGTACCAGGTGTACCCATGTCTGACTTATATAAGTCCCTAAGAGGAAAATGGTGAACAGGATTCTGTTCTATTTTTAGAGATACTTGTACACAAGGAGGATAACCAGAAGTATTACCGTAAAGCAGCTGTAATCTATCACTAATTCTGTGCTGCTAAATGAAAATTCAGAACTAATAGCTATAGGTGGACTTAGATGTCGGGTCAACAGGATCTAATCCATTTTCTACAATAACTGAATAGGAACACCATAGGAAGTACCACACAAGCTGATTGCTGAGTAAACTGAGTTTACAAGTCCCTTATCAAGATCACTTTACTGAGAAAAAATATTTTTTCATATACACAAGTTAGCAATTAATTATCCCCAAATGTAAGCTTTATAGCCAACTGTTTTATGTTTAATCAACTTAGGCTCTTATATAATTAAAACCTTAACATTAAGAGCTTTCAGACACACTTACTGAAATAGCTTTTCTGCAGCCTTTCTTGAGATTGTCTGAACAGGTATACTGGGCAATCCTGATGACTGAGATGGTGGAAACTGGGTATGATTGAAAGATGGAAACCCAGGTGTGTATGGATCACCAGTTCCTAGATGAGCCTGGTAAACAGAATAGTTAGTTCTATCCACTTAGTCAAGAAGTTGTTCATTATATATAGCCCAAACCATTTAGGAACCTAAAGCCTCAAAGTCTAAGGATTTCTATAAATGTAGCTTTAAAAAAGTACTGTATACAAAAAAATTTTAACTTAAGGTATTATTAATGAAGCATTCAGCAATTATCTTCTCTTTCTGCTAAAAGAAAGGCACAATAGATGCAATGTAGGAACATCTAGAGAACACTACACAAATAACTCACATGTCCAAAGAATGAAAAGTCTGCATTAACAATGGGGAATTTAGTCTGGTCCATGTATATCAGGACACCAATTGCATTAAAGCTTTGGGCATTTGCAACCTAAAGAACATAGAAAAAAGCAGGACATTAAAATCTGTTCATACAAAATGAAAATTAATGCAAACTGGAATTTACACTAAAAGGCATCTTCTTCACCAGGGAAAAGCACACCAATTAGTACATACATACAGGAATTATACTATCTGAGTAAGTTGTATTTATATATTCTCTCTCTCTCTCTCTCTCTCTCTCTCTCACCAAAAAATTATGTCAAAGAAGATAAGAATAAAGACCAAGGAAAGGCATATAGGTAGGTTTGAAGGGATGAAATGGAAGGGGGAAAATAATCCACAAAAATAGGAATAAGACCAGCATATTTAAAACCCATACTTACCTTTTCTGCAAAAGTGATTTCCCCTGCTCTAACAATTACTAAAGATCCGTTCACAGCATTATTTAAATCTTCAAAGTCTTTTTTAGTGCCAAAATTAGCATGGAGCAGTTTACCCTAGGATAAAAACATTAGGTGTACTGAGGATCATTGTATCAAAATTACTATAATCCGACAGACTAATAGTAAGAAAGGAAATCAAAGGGGTTGTGTGCAAGATTTTAATCCCAGCACTTAGGAGGCAAAGCAAGCAGAACTCTAAATTTGAGGCCAGCCTGGTCTACATAGTGAGTTCCAAGATGGTCAGTGAAAACACCAAACAAACAAACAAACAAACAAAAAAAAAAAAATCACACACACAGAGGAGAGAAATTAGGAGGGGAAAAAAGGGGACTTTAAAAACCAAATCCCAAACTGACAGTTCTAAAGAAAAAACTAAGCAGTGTTATTAGAAGTAAAAATTTCTGGCATTATGTTTTCTATATCTCATTCTGCATCTAGGGTAAGGTCACCAGGATAAACAGTAATAGGTCAGGCATAGAAGCACCAATTACATATTTCCACATCTGACTCAAGCAGCTGAAATTCTGTGTGTTGGAAGGTACTGTGCTCTTCAGCTTTTCTGCTTGACAGAAGCCAGAGTCCTCTGAAGGAAGAGACTGAACTGGGGAAGGCAGGGATGTCTGTGGATAAGTTTTAATAAAGCTTTTCCTTAGGTGGGAACATGCTTAAATGTGAGCACATGAATAGGAGCAAAGCAGTGGGGAGCAGTCGAGGATAAGGAGCAAGAGTTAGGGCAGCAGTTCTCAACCCGTGATTAGTAACAACCATTAGAACAGACTAAGAAGCTCATCATCAGTTAACATTAAAATAGAGACATAGGAAACAGTCACATGCACTATTTTTACTCACAGTAACTTTTGCAGCTTTACTATATGCCACATAGCCCTCAGGATTCTCCACTTGGTCCAAGTCACTATTTGCATTTACTATGGCCACCGAGTTTTGAGCAACACTAAAAGGTAATAAAAAACTTAAAGCCATCCTTGAAGAAAAATTCAATAGCTTTAGTACACATAGCATTTTATTTGTACTGATTGGCTTAAGGAAACTCATCTATAAATTTTAACCTTGATTTTCATTTTGAAAACGTAATCTACTGAACACATCTGAAAGCACTTCTATAAAATAAGCTACTATATTTCAACATACCCGCCTTTCACCTGAATCTTCACATAATGTTCATCTCGCCAGACTTTGCTGAGTTTAAAGTCACGAAACTGATCTTCAATATAATAGGCAAGATTTTCATCTTTTTGAGATCCAGCCTCCCCAGAGGTCTGGCTCAGCTGCCTGTAAGAAAAAAAATCTTTAGCTCTGTTTTTTGAGACAGGGTTTCTATGTAGCACTGGCTATCCTGGGAACTTCTAAAATGCTCAGCCTAACCTGTGTATTTTAGGAAATAAGACAGTTTCTAGGAGACCTGGAGTAGCAAGGTCAAACAGCTTAAAGTATTGATAGACACTGCTTCCTGCACACATACAGATACAAATCAAAAGATGATGGCTCTGTGGTATACAGCACTTTTTGCTCTTACATAAGACCCAGTTTCAATTCTAGCACACACATGGTGGCTCATACCATCCACAAGGCTTCTGTAGGCATGAGTGTGATGTATACTCACGCAGGTAGATAACATACATATTAATTTTGAAAACCTAAAAATTTTAGAAAGGGAACATTAGATAGACAGAAGAAAACCTGACAGTCCACAATAAACTACAGGTGACAGAGAATCTGAAGAAAAAGAAAGGAGCCTCTCCAGATGAGTTCTAATTCCCTGTCAGCAGAGCACCCTGTACAGAGCAAGGGCAGGGCACTCTCTCTGAAACCCTTTCAAGTCTGCCCTGCCCCCAATGAACTTTTAGATAACTGAACTTAGCTTACTCGATGGTGTCAGTGAACTCTATGGCATCCAACTTCTCTGACAACAGTTTTTTGAGGTCTGCCCAATATAAGCGAGAAGATTTAGGAATGTCTTGTTCTGTGTTGATGATTTCTGAATTGACTGTCTCCGTTTCTGCCAGTCTCACACAGTCTTTCTGTTCTGTGCGTTTACAATAGCCCAGGTAGCCAATCATAAATCCTAAAGACAGAAGTTTTAGAGCTTAGTTCAGACTAATTAATTAGTTGTAAATAATCCCTGAAAATGTTACCTTTTCATTAAATGCTAAGGTCTGAAAGAACATCTTGAATCTCAGCTTTATGGAATTTTAAATTGCCACAATAAGTCATACCATTCCATACAGTGTCCTTTCAAGACATAGTTAATATGCTTCGATTAACTATAAGCTATTCTTCCTCCCTCCCTCCCTAACTCCCTGGATTTTCCAGACAGGGTTTCTCTGTGTAGCTTTGTAGACCAGGCTAGCCTAGAACTCAGAGATGCACCTGCCTCTCTGCCTCCCAAGTGCTGGGATTTAGGCATGTGCCACCATCACCCGGCTTCTGTGTATATTTCTAACACAACATCCATAACTTTAAAAAAAATGTACAATACAAAGTATCTCCTGACCTGAATGAAATAAGACTGAAATAACAGTTGGCTAAAAGAAATACTTTTGAATTTCTTAATACATTCTTACCAATCAAGAAAAAGATTATTACTGCAATTGTCCCAAAGCAGAGTCTTCCATTAAGCTTTCTGGGTTTTCGGACACTGGCCTTCATGTTATTGTCAGCATTCTCCTCTTCATCTACAGCCAATTTCATCTCCACATGACTGTTATCTCCATCTACTTGCCGAGCCAGGCTAAACCGGGTGTATGACAATGGTTCTCCACCAAACTGGTATTTTTTTTAAAGAAATTTAATACAAAAGGTATTAACATAACATAATTAATATAATATATAATATAATTTGATCATATACTATGACATACATTCATTCGGGAAGTTATCCCTCCCAACTAATACTCTTCTCTGTGCCCAATTCTGTCAATGGCAGATGAAGGCTAGCTAACATTCAGCTTTTCCAGGGTTTCCTAGTAAGTTTCCTATAAGCTTTCCTAATAATTTTTTTTTTAAAGAGATGGGGTTCTCACCATGTTGCTCAAACTGACCCTAAACTCAAAGGCTCAGCAATCCTCTTGACTCAACCTTCAGTGTAACTGAAACTACTGGCACATTTTAGTTCTACCTAGGTAGATAACTTCTCCCAAACAGCCAAAGCTACCCTATTCTTACAGTGTTACCCACAATCTTAATTGAAACTGAACATCTTTGCCTCTATTTTAAGAACTTGGGAAACAGGAAGATTGAGTTCAAGGACAACCTGAGACTACACAGAAAAATCTGTCTCAAAAACACAAACAGAGTATTCCTTTATTTGGTGAGATCTATTATACCTCAAGACCACTAGATCAGATAAAAGAATACCTGGTAAGAATTTGGGGCGTTCTTTTCTGCACATTGGGTGAAGTAATGTTCTTTTATTGCATTTTTACAGATAGATGAAAAATCTTACCAAGTTAGAGATTGCTGATCTGGCTTGATCCATCATTCCAAGCTGCCACAAGGACCTAATAATTAGAACAGAGAATATAATGATCAGATTAATCAGGGCTTTCCATTACAATGCTATGTTAATTATAATATGTCAAACTTGCTCCTAAGTATACTAGAAAAGTTTATTTAACAGGAATCTCACTGTGGCCACTAACTTGAGATCCTACTGTGTCAACTTGCCAGAACTAAGATTTATAAACTGTAATCCTTGACTGGATGCTGTATTGAGGTGAACAGCAGAAGGCGTGCTATAAAGGATAGGACTAGGATGTGTGACAAATTAGAAATCTGAATATGGCTAATGTTATTAGACCCAGGGAGTGCGATATGTATTAGATAATTGTTGTTAGAGGCTGTATTGAGTTTGAGCAGTCAGCCAGAGATACACAAAAAACCATGTCTTGAAACATATACCACAGGGGGAAAAAAAAACAAAAAAGAACCTAAAATATAGGGAAAAAACTACTTAGAATACTATCACTTTTAAATGTATTCAAGTAATCAAGAGAAAAAAGTAATGTGTAGTGACCACTTTCAGTCTTACTAAGTAGTCCAAGCTGGCCCTGAACTCTTTCATTCTGCCTGTTTGTCTGCCTCCCAAGTGCTAGGACTATAGGTGTGTACCATGCCCAAATAAATACTTTAAATTGGTATCTAATGATACTAATTCAAACTATCACCTGGAAAAAAATTGAAAAACCAGAAACTAAGAGAATTATGTCAAGACTGTCATTTTTTAACAGTCAGGCCTGGTAATACAGGTTGTAATTAAAGCGCTTAGAAGGATGGAGGATAGTGAGTTCAAAGCCAACCTGAGCTACCTATAGTAAGACCCTGTATCCAAAAACAAAACAATCGGGCTGTGGTGATACACCACCTTTAATCCCAGCACAGGGCAGGTGGATCTCTGAGTTAGAGGCCAGCCTGGTCTACAGAGGGAGTTCCACCAGGACAGGCTCAAAATCCTGTTTCAAAAATAAATAAACAAACAAACCAAACACCCAAACAAACAAAAGTGGGGGTGTGTACTGGAGGTTTGGTGGCATCCAGGCCTTTAATCCCAGCACTCAGGTGGCAGAGGCAGTTGTATCTCAAGTTTGGAGGACAGCCTGGTCTAAAGTGAGTTCATGGACAGCCAGAGCTTTTACAGTGTGTGTGTGTGTGTGTGTGTTGTGTAAAGCTCCAATGGACACAGGATTCCTAAAATGATTAAGTCATGTGCAAGTGATCATGTTCTCGGAAGCACAATCTCTTGCCCCTTCTGTTACTAAGTTTATCACTACCACTGCACCAACAGACCCAATTACTAGAGCCAGAACTAGAAGGCCCCACCCTGGGCCAATTTTAATCATCCAGTGTATACTTTAATGCTTGCCCGAAATAGCTATCCCTAAACTAGTCTAAGTTGGCATTTACTTATAGTTTTGCAATATCAAGGATCCAACCAAGGAAGGACACTTTTGCCATGGTTAATTAAATAAGCGAGCTAAGTAAATAAGATTGAACATTTTGAGTCTGAAGAAAACAAGGCTGGTTGTATAAGGCTTTGTATAATCATAAGTGCACATTTACCCCCTAAGAAATGTGTTATTTCAATTTTAATCTACAACATCAAAATTTAAGAAAAATCAAGCCAGAGCCTTTAATCCCAGCACTTTTGAAACAGAGGCAGGGTTATCTCCATGAGCTGAAGAACAGCCAGGGATACACAGAGACCCTGTCTCAAATAAATAAATAAATAAATAAATAAATAAATAAATAAATAAATAAAGGCTTAGGAAATTTAACCCCATCACCAGAGTAATTCCAAAATAGCCACACAAAGTAACAGATCAAGTAAAACAAATCCAGTAATTCCTTAAGTCACTCACTTAAAATCTCACATATTTAAATTTTTGGGGGTTTTGGAGGCAGTGTTTCTTTGTTAACAGCTCTGGCTATCCAGGACCAGACTGGCCTTGAACTCCAGAGATCCACCTGCCCCTGCTCCCTGGAAGCAGTGCCCCCCAGTACTCAGCAACATAGCTTTATTTAAGAGCCTCTTTTGAATTTTCTTCCAAGTTAAATCACTGAATCTATATTCTGCGAGCATGGCAAAGACATATACCAGCTAAAACAGCACTTCAAACATAAACTGGTAGCCATACCTGAGAGCAAGACAATTCGAATTTGGCTTATTATCCCAAGATGTCACCAATGCCACAAGAGAAAATTAATCTTGGTTTCTCTTATATTAGCTACTTATACATTTTTGTTCCCAATTATTAGGAAAAATATTCAATTCTAATGATAAAATTTAAGCTAAAATAAAAAGTTTCACATGTTTTGATCCATGACCTTAACTTTGAGCTGTGAGATGGTAGATAGCCAAAGATATTAATATTAACCAGACTAATCTCAAACCAAATCATTTCAAAACCAAGGCTCTGTAATTAATATAGGGATGAGAGGTGGGGTGAGGCAGAGGCAGATACCAAAATACTATGAAACAGTTAAGTCATGTATTGGTTCTGACAAGCACACTTTATTAGATAACAAATCAAATTCAAAACCTTTCCTCTTAGGACCTGGTCCAGATCTTTTGTCCCTTGTAAATTCACTGTCTAATTCAAAATTAGACAGCAACCAGTCCCTGCCTGACTTCAGCCAGCCCTTTCTTCTTTGACATAAAACAAAACAAAAAACAAACACTAGTCAGAATGACCTTAAACTCAAATCCATCTGCTCCTGCCTTGCCCAAATGGTGGGATCAAAGGTGTGAGCCACCATGTCCCCCTGTTATGGTCTGGTTTTAAGAGCCTAACTTTGCTAAGTGTGGTGGCACTTTTAATCCCATCACTCTCTTCCAGCAGGAGCAGGTGGATCTCAGGGTCCCAGGCTATGCATGGGTTCAGTGTGACTCAGGGGAAGTCTTCATACACAGCTTTTTGAAAAGAAACCCGAAGGTCAGACCACTTGGGAGCCACTCAAGTTTATTTTGTATAGCACTCATCTGGGAGACCAGAGGTTCATTTTTAAGTCACTTTTATTGTTGTTTAATTAAAGATTAGCCAAGAACCTTGCTCCATTACAGATAAGCACATTGCCACAAGCATAACTGCCTAGCCTTAGGGTGAAGTGATACACCCTTGGTCTCTATCCATAGTCAACACAGGCTAGGTTCAACCCATCATTTCTTGACAGCATTGTTATGCTATACATAGCCCTTTGAAAAAATAATGGATTCCTGTATAAAGCAGAATTTTATTATAACCCCCCAAAAAAGACAAAAAAAAAAAACTAAGGAGGACCCACACTAAATTCCATTTTCTTTGTAGATAAAGCCCTGAATCGGTTTAAATGTCTTCCTCAAAGAGGTCACATTTCAGTTTAAAGCCAACTGCATTAGCCATCTAGCCTAGCATTCCAAATCCATCTAATCCTAGAATAAAGATGATATCAGGTTTCTGCAACATGATTATTTCCCATTTAAATCCTCAAAAAAAAAAAAAAAAAAAAGCCAAAGACACTAAACAGTCCAGTCTTTGTAGCAAGATCATTTCATTGTAAGTGTTAAGCGACAAGTTTGCAAATATAGTTTTCTTACCCTCAATCACTATTTTAGAGAGCTGTCCAACACTGTAAGCACGCTGACTTTTCTACGGTTATTTCTAAATAGCTGCTCTTACAAAGAGGACTTATTCCTATAGTCTCTCAGCTTGAGGGCCGCTAGCGACATTCTTAGTATCACCTGCAACGTTCAGATCTATTCCGCCCTGCCCTGAAAATGGGATTCTACACGCAGGGCCAAGAGGAGAGCCTGGCAAGAAAGACTTAGGCGGTACCGCAGTTCCAATGTGCGGTTCTTGGAAACTTCCCAAGTGCCCAGGACACTAGTAACCGAATAGAGCGGTTTTGTCCTTTTCAGCTCTTGACGCCCGCCTGCAAGGAGCCCCAAGGTCACCCACGTACCCCGACAGCCGTTCCCTGGGGCGACTTCCTGGAGCCACCACCACGTGTTCCGAGCAGAACCAGCCTGCGCCGCAGCGTGGTGGCCCTTTCTCAAACCCGCGGCCTAGGACGGGCCTGCGGGGCCGATCCGGAGAGCGCCGGGTACGGCGGCGCCGCACCAACCCCGCTGCACCTGCAGTCCCCGCTCCGCAGTTCCCGCAGCCTCCACGCCCGCCGCCACCGCCCGCCGCCCGCTGCACGCGGGCCCTGACCTTCCGCTCTAGTCCGCCCGGAGCACGCGGAACACGAGGGGCCGGCCACTGACAGGCGCGTCACTTACGCTGAGGCGCCTCCGCAGCCCAGGACACTGCCACCGGCGCTCCACTCGCCTTCTGAAGGGACCGCTGCCTCCCAGCCAGCTTATAGTCCGGGCCCGCCCCCTGCCGGCACGCTGGGCTACGTCACTTCCTGCCGCACGTACACCTACCGAGGCGCTCTTAGCAAAGCCTCTGGAGGCGAGATGCGCGCGCAGCTGGTGCGTGCGCGGAGTTCAAGAGAAAAGGCGCCAAGGCGGCAGGTGTCGGGAGGGCGCACGCGATTGGCCGGGCCTTTCTCCACCGCACCCCTCCCCCCCACGCCGTGTCGCTGCAGCTGGCGGGTCGCCCGGGTCGCCCTCCCCCCCTAACCTTGACCGACCGTCAGCCATGCCGTACAAGGTCGGAAGTGTTAGCCTTTACTCCAAAACGTTCCCGCTGGCGGTGAAATATAGGTTTTGGTCTCCGTTAAAACCATACTGTGTTCTGCAGCCTCAGAAATGCTTTACAAAGGAAACACTTTCCTGTAGAATGCAGTTATTTAAAAAGATCTTCACGGGCAGGACTTGAGCCAAGCAAAGAGCTTCCCACGCTTAAGTTGAGCCGATAAGAGGGAAACTAGAAACTAATAAGATTGTAGATTAACTCGCATGTTTGTCGCCATTATTGCTGTTAGAGGATTGTTGCAATGAAGAGCAAATAAAAGGAGGTCGGTTAAAACTGCAAACATTCACACCCTTTTCTTCCTATCTGTAATTTACTGTC